GGTATTATCGATGTATAATTGCGTGCGCGAAAGAGAGAGAGAGAGAGCGCCTTATCGCGCGGCCGATAGACCGCTCGCGAAATCCGACGACCTTTCAGATACGCACATGAAAGAATGGCATTATACGCGCGATCCGCGGTTTGCAGCAATGCATCTGTCGCGGCGGTAGCCGCCATCGTTATCATGCCATTTATCATGCGCTCTCGCTCGCCTCTCCCTTTGCTCTCATGCCGCGATAATTGGATTTCTCTGAAACGTATCGCGCGGCTAGAAAAATTCGGCGACCTTTTTCGCTACGTTATCGGGATCTCCTCACACGTCGGTGTTCCTCTCCCGGAGAGAAACATTTGTGACCTGTTAGCGTTCAAGGATTCGTACGAGATGAAGGGACCACACATGTTGACGTTATTATTTGATCTTTAAGTGGGCAGATGGCATGCCCACGTTTAACACTACGGATAGTTTTTTTTTAAACTCTATTCTGGAAAAGGAAAACCACTCGGATAGAAGTTTTCAAGAAGGTTCATTATTTTTACATTCCTCTATTTTATACAAGAATACTAACGTAAACTTGACAAAAAAAAAAAACGTAATATACTAGTAAAAAAAAAAAGTATAAAATAATTATACATAATTATAAAATATATTTCTATAAATAAAGTATAAAATAAAATAATCTTTTGCTGTTACGCGAGCATCTCATCTATCAACTTGCGTATCTTTAAACTGTCTATCTACTTAAAGGTTAAACTCTCTCATCGGTTGAAAGCGAACGAGAATACGCTTAGGGCTTATTAGTTTCCGCCGCAATGTCCGTATTAGAAATGTTGAAACACACATCTCCAATGAGACGTCAAATACTCTTCGAATCATCGTCAGCGTAATACGAGACGATTGTCGTTACAAAACGCATATTATATCGAATGCCATTGCCTCGGTTAGACGTGCGAAGAATCGCAAATCACTTTTGCACGTGTCGTCGACAACAAGAACGTCAAAGATTATTGATGTCGCGCGTGTTTAAGTTCGTTCGTTGAGTAAGAGCTCGGAAGTTCATTAGCTCACAATCGGTGTCAGCGGTGCCGTTTTCCGCTGACGTTTTCGCCTGTAACGTTTACGTGTAATACGGTTGCATCACGCGACACTTGTCACATTAGCGAATCGCTAAAATTGCGAGGCGATTCATCAGGTGGTTAGTGGGTCGCACGGTTTTCCTGTTAATTTCGTAAGTGGGACTTGACCGAAAACGATGCGAATTTTTCGACGAATTCCACGGTCGGCGACCTTTCGCACGAAATGTTCTCAAACGAAAGTTTCGCACGACGTCGTTCTGATTTAATACGTCGTTTTCACCAATACAGTTTTATTACCGTACACGAACATTAAGCTTTATCACAGATCAAGAATGAAAATGGCTCATGCACTTTAATCTATCGATCGTGATATATTTCAGCGAGATATTACATTTTTGTTTATGCTTTTTCTATACAACTCGTTTTCGATGAGATGTGACACACATTAGAAATTTACAGTCATGCAAGTTTAATTACTTAAAACTGTGCGTTCGGTGAAAGTGACGCGTGTTTAAAACGCAATAAAAGTTAGCGTTCAATTTTATGCTTACTCGATTAATTGTTCAAGAAAAAGCGTATCTCGTATTATTTGCACAGTTTGCAATTGTTTGTATTGTTCGTTCAGAGTAGATAAATATTGCGATTCCGGTCGCTCGAGCATTCGCGGTGATTCCTTTCGTTTCATGCAGCATCGCGATTGCGCATTGTAAAGTTTAGCGAAGTGAGATGGCTAATTCACCGTAACAGGATGACAAAGAGCAACGAGCGACCACAAAAGTCCAATGGACTTTATCAGTGCGTCGCAGAATGCATCGAAGTAATTTGTCAGTCATTGCACTTGCGCCTTTATTGGCGCATTCCTTCGTTCAAGTCACTCGTCCGATGCATTCGACACAAGAAATGCACGTCTCAAAGACGTGCATTCATCCGATCGATACAGGAATTTTAAGCGTAAATGTATCAGGACGCGATGAAAATCTATCATTACAAAAATTCAATTTCTTTTATTTTATATTTCCTGTTATTGCAGTATTTTTATTTTATTTAGGCTGGGTTGTTCCAATCTTTCGGTAAACTTCAACTCACTGTCTTACTCTCTTACTCTCTTATGTTTCTTACTCTTTTACTCTTTTGTTTACTCTCTCTCTAAATCTGAATCAGTGGATAATCACTGATATCAGTAGCCAAGTATGCCACTGGTAATCAGTGAATGAAATGTGAGATCCCTAATCTAGCTGATCTTTATTATGTGATCTAACTAATCTTGTTTTAGTGCATAAATTCAATGAATATGATATTGGAAAGTTGAAATTAACATGTAAATATCAGTATTACTTATATAATGCTCAAACATTCTTCCTTTTAGTTGAACTTTTACTGATCATCACTGTCAAGTATGCCACTGAGTAATTAGTAACTATCTACTTGTTCAGATTTAGAGAGTATCCAATAAGTAAATTACCACATAGTTTATCTAAAGATCGAGCAACCGGCCCTTAGAGAAGAAACGCTTCTTAGAATAAGACGTACATGTTAAATATTTCCTTCAGTTCTAATTCTCGTACTATTCTGACTTGCAGGTGAGTAGGCGATCCAAAGAACATGCGACAGAAAAGAAGGGAAGGGTGAGTCAATTTAAATTGTCGTTAGAAATCGTAGTCGATCCTCTCGTTGGCCGAGGATTAGTCACGGTGAGAAATCCGCGCTGTTCGCCGCTAATCCGCTGGTCCCGCCAAGTGGATGCCCACGACGGCTTCTACCCACGTGGCCGGAACTTGTCGATACAAGCCCGTTCGATTAGTATGCATGTCGCGTTACATCGAACAGGAAGGGCTGTTCAATAACATGGCGGAGAATGGTTCGCATCCGTCCCGACGCACTCGGGTGTCCGGATATGCGTATGACCGCGAATATTTTTGTGATGCATTCTTTTGCAACGCCGCAAATGGCAATAAGTGACACATTGTTATTGCAGCGTTCTTATCGCCACTTAACTTTACTATTACTCGTGAGGTGCTTCTGACACTCCAACGTTGTATAGCTCTTAATTTTCATTGTTTTTTTTCTGACGATTTACAATTAATAAAGAATTGAATATTCTACGGAAAGAACGATTATCGATATGTTAAAAACATAGCTAAATACCTTTGTTGAATCATCAAGATAATTACGTGAGAATTTCAAACGGTGAGCGAGGCTGCGAAAAAATTTTGATGTCCTAGAGCAGTTTGAGCGTTCTATGTAATTATGTTGATAATAATTATGGTTCAACAAAATTATTTTTAGACCTACATATATCTGGCTAATCTTCCAAGTATTTCGATAAAACAGTTCTTTCTGTGTGTACATCTTTCAGATAAAGATAAATGCAAACAATTGCGTTAAACATAATAATGTGTGTAAATTCATACATTTAGGAAAGTGAGGTGGGTTTAATATGAGGACGGTTAAATATGTATGAAGAGAAACTAATATCGATACTAATGTACGTACGTAAATAATACGGGGATAAGTTATAACCTAACGAACACGTAAATCTTGTTATAGTTGAGTAGGTTTATTGCACGCGAGAAATCCCAAAGTTGCGTCCGCGTGCGTTTTCACTAACGAGTCTCTTCGGAAATAAGCCTGCCTTATTAGAGATTACTATCCCGCACTTGCGCCAGAGCAGAAGTATTTCAACTTAACTCAAGTTATTCTCCGCTCGAGAAAATAATCAACGAGTTTCTCGTGTTCCAGTTACTTTCGTGGACCATGATGTTCCCTCTTGTTTGTTGTAAATTACTTTTTTAAACGTTGAACAATCATAAAACTTTTCTTCTTACTGTAAGGGAAACTTGAATTCGCTGAAGTAATCTCACTTCAATTTGCAACGCAGATGGGGTTGTAGAACTTTATACTAAGAAATTAATCGAAGTGCAATGTAGCGATATTTATCGCCCGAATATAAGATATACGGAAGTAGGATGATTATGCAAATTTGTGAAAGTGACTACGACGTAAAATATAATATGAAATATGGTATGATAGAAACGAGGGCGTTATCAAATCCATATTTATCAAGCGAAAATGGTGTCTTTCGGGGGGGTAGATCGGAGCTTGCGGATCAAAAGCCACGAAGCCTTCATCAAATATATGTATATATATATATATAAGGAAGTAGGTCTGAAAATTCATGGTCAATTTTACGACGGATTGCGTGCGTGCGTGAGCGACCCTGATTACGCTGGCGAATATGCGCATTCTTAACTTGGGATTCTCGGCGAATAAAACATTCAACGCTAATTGAGTTGATTTCACCGAGCTGTCCGTCTCTTGGAGCCGACAATCGAACGGTCGGCCATATAGTTTGCAGTCCGCCGACCGCGAGATTTCCGCGAAAGTCTCCTGTGCGCAAATGCAAATTCTACGTGCACGTACGTTAGTTTGAAAAGTAAACTTTCCAGCGTTATCACAGACGGCGATTATTGACCGCGAAAAATCTCGGCGATTCTCCAAATACACCGATTGACAAGCCTGCCAATTGACCAACGACGTGTTTGATCAGTCATGTTTAAGATTCAACCAGGTATTAGCTGCGGTGCCTCGTTAAATCACCTCGTCGAAGATGTCTTGTTAGAGGACGACGGTGACTCGCTAATACCCACTTCCTTACTTTCTCCGCCTCTAATTGTCACGGCCGTTAAACAACGTACGCGTAAATTTCTTCAATTACGCGCGATCGCGTAATTACACGTGTCCGCTGCTACCTCGATATTCCGTTTTCGCGTCGCGCGATCGTCGCTTTCACAACCAACAGATCTAGGCGAGAGATCATTCGGTAGCAAAAAACGATAACGTGAAAAATACATACACTTTACTGAAAAATACATAGTTTATTTCTTGAAAGGCGTGGCAAGTTGAACTCGTTCTTTATTTTGTACGGCGATAATACTTTGAGTTAATCGCGCGCTCTCGGAGATTCGGATAATGGAGCGTGCTGACGGGGAATTAGGAGGCTGTAGCAGCAATTGCTATCGTAGGGATATCATCGTGACATTATCTTATCATCGTTAATTAACTAGGAGGACTAATGGTGTGACCTGAGTAAGTTGGCCTGCGTATGCTTGGAGTAGTAGAGTGGAAACAGGTCGCCCTTACCGTGAGTAATTTTGCGACTATGTTGGTCTCGCGAATGCAAATTAATTACTCGGCTAGAAACTGACTTAAGCTCGGGATCTATCCGTCCTGTCTTGTAATTCGCTTGGAGTGCGACTAACAAGGCGACTTAACGGCGAGTCAACGGTCAACGTTGAGAGGAATCATTTCGAAGCTTGGCTGGGAATTAGTATTTAATGCGAACACGGATGCTCCAAATTATTGTATATATTATTATATTGTTGTTATTGTTATAACTGTTAAATTCATAATATCAAATCATATTCAATTTAAGTTATTTCGAACCATTTCTATAGGTCGCCATTGTTCCTCTCCTAGATCGTTGATTTGACTAAAACAGTAAAGTTGATCGATTTAACTCAATAAAATGTAGTAAATTTTACTCAAGTTAGTTTAGTTTATTATTTAATAAGCCTATACATTAATGTGGATGTTTTTATTTACTTTGAAACTAATCACAGAAATGGATCGATTTACATTTTGACACACAAAAAAAGTTAAAAATAACAAAATATTATTTAACTCAAGGGATTGGGGATTATCGTTGCTCCTTCGATATCTGACAGCGTAAAAAGAATATTGACTATTGGAAATCAATGATTTAACAATCAATCTCGGAGAGATAGATTGAAAATGGAGAGCTCCAGATTTTTTTTCGCTTTTTTTTTCCTTCCGCGGAATGCGAAAAATTATTTCGAATTTCGTTTCGGTTATACCGACAGGATTTTGTTGCAATTTTTCCTCACGTTTTGCATACGATCGAACAACACTTGTTCGTCGACGATTTAACGAGCGCAGTGCGTTTTAAAGCATCGTTTTAAGCTGCATCCCGAATAGCAAGTCGCATGCTCACCGCTCATACAAATCCTTTAGTTGTAAATTCACGCTGATTGGACGTGCCGTCCAATGGGGGATTACGCAGCCTTGGGCGCTTAATAGAATTTACAAGTTTTCAAACTGACGATGCTCCACCGGCTCTCCACGTGCCTGGTTGTTTGTTATACGCCACTACGGTTTCTCGATTATTTTCCACGTGTAACTCCCTCTTATCCCACGAGAGAGAGAGGGAGCGTTTCAGGGAGCTGCGATTCGGATTCAAGGCCGATGACGAATCGCATTTTCTTGCCCCGACGATTTCTGCACGGCACGCATAATACATACGTGGTTTTTCACCGCGAGTCGTTGAGATGGAAAGAAAATGAGTAAAAAGGACTCGCGATTTACTTCGCAGCGAACGATAAACCTTCGACACGGGGGTTAATGGCTTAAGAGTGGCGGCCGATTGATAACAAGGCCGTTGTCGGAACGTATCGGCGATGAATCATCCGGTCGACTTTCGCGCGGATAACAGGACGATAAAAGTCCGCGAATCGTGTTGCGTTATTACCGCTATATAACACGGCGGCGGTTAATGGAACGTGGGCGAGCGCAACGATTTGCGGACCCAAGACGTTCAAGCATGCGCGGATGCAGAATTAATCATCCGCAAATGAAAGCTCCGTGCGGCTAGTGTTTCCTTACAATCGCGTCGCAAATCGCAAATTAAGCTCAACTTTGTCTGCCTGCGCGCGTGCCGGTGTGTTTTAACAATCTATTTCTCGTCTCTCCGTTCAGCACGTGTGGCACGTTCAACGCTTCGTTAAACTCAGAACGCACCGTGCTGCGTAGATCGGTAATCAAATAAACAAAAGAATTTCTTTCCTCGTATATACGCGCATTACGGGCGAGTTTATTACTGTTCCCTAATTAACGTTCGTTCCCGAACGAGCTGAGTTTTTAGTATCGAGCTTGTATTGAGCAGCGTCTACGATGAGATTTTAAAGCGCAAATCTTAAGTCTTAAACCCCAAGCCGTAAGAAATCGATTAATCACAATCGAATTCGAGGAGAATACTCAACTATTACTGATCAATTTCTTACAACTTCGTGCTTAAAGCTCAAGTTTTACGCCTTAAAATCTTATTGTAGACGCCGCTTGAAAAATTGACCAATCATAGGCCGGTATTTCGATTCTTATATTTGAGACAGTCTTAAGATGTCATCGGATGAATATCGCCTAAATTAATTATTCTCTTCACATTCGGCTGTGATTGGTCAACTTCTTACGGATTGAGGTTTAGAGCTCAAGCTTGTACGCCTTAAAATCTCATTGTAGACGCCAATGCATCCTCTACGATACACAGAGTAAGAAATTGACCCAATCACAGTCGAATTTGAGAAGAACAATCGACTGTGATTGGGTCAATTTCGTACGGCTTGCAACTCTATTGTAGAACAGGCTTTACTTCTTCCTCGTATATTGCAGACGACGCGTAACACGGAGTCGTTAAAGCATACGTGAGAGAAGGAGAGAAACGCGAGAGAACCCCTGAGAATCGACACGATATTCCGTTGTCGACTGTAAGCAGAATAATCGCGATAGCACCGTACGGCGATATCATATCCATTGAGGGGTCCGGAGGGGAAGA